ACAAGCATGGATATTAAGTTTTTTCTCATTCTTTTCAAATTCTGACTTACTTTGCTAAGACCAGTGGTGTAGTCTCAGAGTTCAAGCCAGCAAATTTCTGCAGAACCTGTTGAAACTTTCCACTACTGAAGTTGGATGAAAACAGTTCCTGTAGCTCCTTTTTAAATATTACCTTCTCTTGTTGCTTCATAACTTCTGAAAGATAAATAATATATCTTATCCACTTTGTATTTATACAAAATCCTCTAAGTATACATGACACACTGTGCAAGAATGCAGATTACGAGAAGAGCAAATTGCATTAACAAGAATGTGTTAGTTTGTGTACAGTGCCACTGCAAACAATTATAAACAAAACAAAAAATGTGGAGTCTCTGAATCCTTCACACAAGTTCTGAATTACGCTGTGATTATTTAGAAACTCCATGTTACAGCACCTTCCTTGGAGAGTTTTTAGATGTACAGCTGATGAAGTAACTCCTGATATCTATCACAAACTCAAGCTCATCACTGCGTCTACAACAGCCCACCAATGGACCCACCTTGACTCAGCACAATTCAGTTCACATCTTCAAAACTGTTTCTCTAAAATTCATTTTAATATTACCAACTTTCAAACACATGCTTATATCTCTCGAGTCCTCCTAAACAAAATTTTGTCAAAAAAAAGTGCCCCTGATGCATTATACATGTCTCACAGGTTCAAATATTCTCAGTATTTTTTTCTCAAATACCTTAAACATATTATATTTACTCCAACTACAAGCTACAATTCTTTAACTCCTGTTCCCATTAAAAAATATGGAGTAATTTTTTATTCATAAAAAAATTAAAATACCAAAAATGAACCTACAATTCAGGAAAGACAGACATCCTGAAAAATACTGCATACCTTTCCAATATACTACCAATGTATTTCCAAAGTAATAACCATTCATGCATTGGTCTTCTTAGTTGTAATGTCATAATTTCAGAGGTTCTTTTTGCCTCCATCATCAGGGCATGGAGGCAGTATGACCTCTGAAACATCGGTAAACATCTACCAGGCTACATGGTGCTACAACCCAGAAGACATACTCTCTGCTGTGAGAACCTCAAATCCTACTAAATCTGATTCTCAATTAAATGTAAGTATATATAATCTGAATTTAAACTAACTTAAATTTTTAAATGCACATCACCAAATACCAACCTTTAGTCTTAAGTTTATCCGTCATGAATTTAGATTTCTTTGGATGTTTCTCTTTGCATTCAACTTCATAATATTTCAAAACCCATCTGAGAACACAGCCTGGAAACACTTTCAAATCTGTGCTTGTGTTTACTGCACATTTCTCCGCAGTTATCTCACTGCCTGTTTTCTGATGCAAGGAACTTCTTGTCAGTCTCTTTGGTGATTTAATGCTTGATCCATTCACTGGCAGTTCAGCAATCTGTTTTTTATCTGAAGCTGTTGCAGATGATTCAACCATCTCTGACTTTAGTTTAAGCTCACCAACAACAGGGTCTTTGATAGGTGAAACTGGACAGAGTACCAATTCCTGACAAATTCTAGGAAATATTTCATTCTTCATCTCATCCATCTTGAAAATTGTGGCAGGTGACTCAAAGTCTGTAAAGTCTGCTACTGCCTCACGAGTCTTATCTGGTGAGCGGACTTTTGTTACATTCTCAGACGTGTAATCTGCGTCAAGGCATGTGTGTGGTAAAGTCACATGCCCCATGCCTTCAGCGGTCTGATTTGCTTCAGGTACACTTTCTTTATGACAGACTGGAACTGCTGGTACTGTAACAGTCTCGAGAATTTTATCCGGTAAACTAGAATCAGAGTGAATTTCAGAAGCATGATCAACTTTAGATAAAGGGCTTGCAGTTTCTGTAATAATATCGCTCTTAGGAATTCTGTCCTGAGAACAGTCTGCAATTTCTGCATGATTACTTTCAGTGTGTATCTCTTCTGTTGAACATGTTTCTTTGACTATATCAGTACTGGAAAATATCTGATCAGTACCTGAGTTACAAGTCAAATGGAGATTAACCGAGTTATTACACGTATTAAGATTAACAAACCCATTTCCCACTGATGAGCTATGATCTTGTGGAATAGATGACAGGTAACTGACATTGGTACGAGACTTTGACACGTTACCTTCTATTCCCACTCCTGATGGACTCCTTACTCCTGGCCTAATGGATTTTGAATGTGCAATACAGGTTTTGGATGCTGGTGTAAGCATCTTTCTGATTCTTAAACATTTTTCTGGTAATTCAGAAGCTATCTTTGATGGCATTTTAGATTTGATGATATTTCGCCTAAACTTTGCCAACTTGCTAAGTTTTCTTACTGGACCAGTACCCCGAGAAGGATCAGTTTTACCAACTCCCTGTCTTGTTTCATGAGCATTTACTCTCACATTCAGCAATGAGTGATTTTCATTTGCTGTAGAACATTTCAATTCTTGATCTGAACTTGCCTGTTCTGTCAATGGTAAGGAAATAGCTGTGGCAGTATCACATGTTCTTGTAATATATTTCTCAGGACTTGATTCTGATACATAATGCAACAAAATGTTGGATGTTGCTTCAGAATCCTTGTCAATCACTGAATCATCACTTACTTTGTTTACAAAATCTGTTCTTGTCCTCTTGGATTTTCGTCTCTCTAAACTTGGGCAATCTTTACATTTGCTTTCAACCTGGCCAGCACAGCCAACTGAGGCCTTTCTCTTGTGCTCATTTAACACACTGCCACGAGCCTTCTTTGGCTGGATAGTCTGTATCTCTGCTGCAGTTCTGTGACTCTGCTGTTCTGCATCAGAATAAATATCTGATAAAGTGCTAAACAATTCTTTGCATGATGATTGCTCAAGTACGTTTTCCTCTGTGACAGCCCTTGTCTTCTGTTGAATGTTACTCTGAAGTACAGTTGATATCTGTGCATTGTAGGATCCAACTCGACAATCTTGCATATCCTGAACTGCTTCAGACTGGTTGCTATGAACTTGACTATGTATTCTCATGACAGGTGTATCACTTTCTTCAACAGGCTCATCCAAATGTCTATTCTTAAGATGTTTCAGCTTTAGTTTTGACCTGTGTTTTTGTTTGGACAATGGGAACTTCTTTGACATATTTTTTCTA